GCTATGCGATTTGGAGTACGCCGATGATATCGTCTGTCTGTTCGAATGTATGGAGGACGCTCAAAGTGCACTCGATAGATTAACAAGTGCAGTGGCCACATTCGGTATATGCTTTGCACCTTCAAAGTGCCAAGTGCTGCAGCAGGACTGGGTTTCGTCTACTCCCACTCTGACACTAAATGGCCAGGATTTAGTTGTGGTGGATTACTTTTCCTACTTGGGTAGCTGCGTGACCAATGCCGGTAGTGCAGCAAAGGAGATAACCACCCGCATTTTCAAGGCTCGAGCAGCATACGCAGGACTGAAACGCCTTTGGCGTTTACGCAACATCTCACTGTTGAAAGGTCGTGTATATTGTGCTGGCGTTCGTTTAGTCCTGCTTTATGGTTGTGAGCCCCCGAATTTGTTAGTAGAAGATATATGTCGACTAGAAGTTTTCGATTATCGGTGTTTACGCAGGTTAGCCCATGTTGGATGGAGCGAACGGGTTAGTAACACAGAGGTAAGCCGTCGTGTTTTGGAGTCTGTCAGGTATAAACCTACTAACATAGCAAATTCAGATTACTAGGCTTCGCTGGCTAAAGCACCTATTGCGTATACCCAGCCGTCGTCTGCTGCACCGCGCTTTATTCGCTGTAGCTAATCCGGGCTGGAGGAAACCACGTGGAGGTCAACAGATGACGTGGATAAGAGGCATGAAGAAATGCATAGCGCCATGGCAGCGAACCGGCAGCACTGGAGTTCTTGTTGTCACTTCTTATCAGGTCAGAATGCTTGAAACGGTATGTATGCAGAGTTCGATTGTGTACTCTGTGTTGACTATAGTGGCTCATCTTCTTCTCCCTCCCTCAAAATAGATCCAATCCCTATCCACCTTAAATTTTACCACTAACCTTGTATGCATTCGAAGTTTGGCAGCGGTTAGTAAAGTTCGCTTCACTGTATTTCGCTGTACGATGATGATGAATTTCGGAAAAGAGGACAGTAGGCGAATGGGCGGGTTATTTGGGTTATTTGTTCCGTTCGCCGTTGAAGACGTGCGGTGCTATCATTTTCTTGAATAAAATAATTAAATTTGTCCTTTTAGTTATGGTAGCATTTTCCTCTTACGTCATAACCATGCTTCTTGATGAATATGGAAGGATATCCAGAGATTTTCATTACTCCAGGTTTACAGTGAACAAGTTCGAACGGCTGGGGTAAATGAATTACAAATCTACTTAAAAGGCATAGAACAGTAGGTTCCAAAATTCTTATACTAACCCGCTGATGTTGTCGCACGGAACAATGTCAAGTACAAATTATGAAGCTGATGAGTAACTTTAATTTCGTGCCCTACTTTGAACTCAGTATCCTTATGGTAAGGTGTTTATAGTGCAGGAGTAGGAGTTTGTGTTATTGCACCGGGTGGTAATAGAACTACTCCTCAGCAGGTTGGTTGGTGATGATTGGGTTAGAAAGCGCGCTATTGCAGACCGGCGCATGCTCCCGAAAATCTCCCATGCGCTTCTCAACCGTTGTGAGATGCAAAGGTCTTCATTGATGCTGCTCTTGAATGGATGCACCCGTGTACTGAACACAACGTCAATGACAGAAAAAGGGAAAGTCCTCATAGTCGAACAGGAAAAGGGAACTTAGGGGAACATTCCCGTAAGATCCAGCTTCTGTGTTTAAAGAGTGTAAGGTTGTAAGCTGAGAGAAAGACAAAATGGAACGGTGGTCCACAAACTGGCGATTCGGGAATAAAGGAAAATCGGAGTGGAAAAGTACATCTGGTAACCGAAATCTGATCAGGATGACTCGGTGCCTGTGCACGGGATAGCCGTGCAAAGTTGCAGGAGGAAGCACTGCCGAGGCAAGCTCCCAAGAATGAAAACCAATGTAGTAACGGTAGAAAACGGATAGTGAAACAACTGCCCCGACGATGGACTAGTGATTGGTAGTTAGAAACGGATCTTTGAGCAGCCGGATGGCCTTTCGTTGAGCATGATCTAGAAGTGGAAATGGAGAATGCGGAGCCCCATCACAAACCTGACTGCAGTATTCAAGAGCAGGGCGGATTTAAGATTTCTATGGTAGGAGATGAGCTGGGATAAAGAAAACCTTGCGCGCAGTACGAGAAGCAAGGTGAGGAATAAAAACGGACCAGCATAAAAAAGAAGCTACAAACATTCCAAGAGGGAAACAGAATCTGTGGAACACAGTTGTTTGGAATACAAACATAGGTGGGAAAAATAAATGGTTTCGTAGAGATTTTGAGTGGTTTTAGAAGCATGAAATGAAACATGATTGTTTTTACCCCAGAAGGATATGTATTCGAGATCAAAGGCCAGTGACATGGTAACTACACCTCGGTTACGATCGATTTTGTTCCGGACAAAGCAAGTAGTACAGTAGGAGAGGGAGCAGTGGAGAGTGGCGTCATTGGCAAAATAATAGATTAGATTGGAATGAAAATCATAAATAAATAGAAAAAAGAGGGTAGGCACAAGTACTTAATCTTGGGGGAGGCCAGCATTCATAGGGAACGACCGAAGTAGAACCGAGTGGCGGACTACATAAGATTTCTGTAAATCAGGTGTGGTAATGAGCCGGTCGACGGCATAGCCGTCTGTTATTTTTAGAATACTTTTGTAACAATACCCATCATTATCAACCGCTTCTCAGTATTCGTAATGTCTTCACTTCACAAGTTCTACTTGTTCCTTCTCTCGTGTCCAGAACCGTTAAGTTGTGAAGATTGAGTGTTTTTTTTTCACCAAAAATCTTGTCTGCTTTGCGGTTGCAATCAAGTTGTATGAGATCAAGCAAACCTTTACCACCAATACGCATTCTTGCACAAAGCTCATCAGGCAGCTGTTGTATGGCTGCGGCCCCCTACCTGAATGTTGACTGTACATTTGTATATTCAATAAATAAAAGAGAAAGTAAAAAGACATTATTTAATAATTTACTAGCTATACGATGTTCGAGTACTCATTCCCATTTCTTATATGGAAAATTCTTTTTCTTTTCTTTTTCAATTCGACTTCCTTTTTTATTGAATATATACAAAGATACAATTTTCAGGAAGGGGGAAGCGGCCAATCAAAGGGCTGCCATACAACACACATGGGGAAAGTCAGGCGGTGGTGGTGGGATGGGATTCGAACACTCGTCCTCCGGGGTGATAATTGGTGACGTTACCACCGGGGTACAGAAATTGAGCTGGTTTCTGCAAGAGAAACAAATCAATAGTTGAATTATTGATGTCGCTGATTGAATCACATTCTTCATCCCTTAGTGTTCTCCATTTTCATAGTTTACTCAAGGTTAACTCGGTTGTGTAATTACTGGATTTCACACTGTCCGTTTTTCCCAATATTATTCCTCCTATGGTTAGTGATGAGTACACATCGCTCACTTCCGACCTCGCTTGGCACACAAATGTGACATCGACGCGAATGAGCGAACGGTCTTCGAAAGAAAATCGTGAATTGTACGAGTTGGCTTTACGCGGACTACAATACTTGTCCGGTTGGTCCGTTCAGGTCTTAGATACGTTCACATGGAAACTTGCTCATTGTGCCAGTCACGAAACCAATCGTGAATGTCCCAAGGACGCGGAGAGCTACGAGAAGGTGAGTTCTATTTGCCTTGAGATACGATTAAAATGGGTTCGTTGGGTTCTTAGTTTTCGATACAGATAAACGGTAAATATTGCTAGTTTCAAGCCCTTCGAATTACTCTGTTCGATTCCAAACATGAAACATGTATGACGTGAGGATGCGGTTAACCGTTCTTCCAATCATGATGAAAGCAAGGGATAGTCAAGCTGTTTGATGGTTAAAAAACGCACTTTGCTAAGTATCCACGCAGATTGTTGCTGCACTCGTGTTGCGATATGTGGATTGTTTTTTTGTGTGTGTGCCGAGCTTTTGATTTATTTGGTGATACTCCTTAACCACATGGTTGGAGGCACTGAAGGTCATGTCTGCGAACCGACAGCAATGGTGAGCTTGCTGTCACTTCTTATCAGACCAGAATGCTTGAAATAGTATGTGTGCACAGTTGAACTGTTTACTCTGTGTGTTAACCGTAGTGGTTCACTTTCTTTTCCCTTCCCTAAAGATAGGTCCAATCCCGGTTTTCCTTACACATTATCACTTACTCTGTATGCAATATGATTTTGGTAGCGATCAGTGCAGTTCGCTTCACTGTCTTACGCTTTACAATGATGATGATGACTGCTGAGGGACATTTTTGTTAATAAATTTGTGTCGAGGATGAAAATTTACAGTGCAATCAATTTAGGGAGATTCTTTCCCTCATGATAATACATCTTACTGCTCATGCTTTTATGTCTATAGCTCCTATGTGAGAATAAATGGACTTTTCAATACCCTCGCTTATTGGTTCGCGATAAAATCCGTACAGAATCATACCCAATTCTTTGGTTCTTTTGCTCGACGTCCTCCTTGATCGGGTTAACCCATGTCTTGAGCCGTTCACCAACCTGGTAGGGGGTACTGTTTGTGAATAGTGTTCGCAGGTCGTCGGGCAATATGGAAGAACTATTAAAGTCGTTGGCGCTGCAGAAAAGAAGACAGTTTCTCAATTTCGTCATATCGTTCCTGCACTTCGTTACTTATGCATTGGAAACTCCTTGTGATATCCTTGTGTATCACAGGCACCAGTGGTCTACGATTTCTAAGTTCCGCTTATAGCAAGTGCATAATGGCCAGATCTCAGTCGTACATATATACGGACAGGACGATAGAATGGTATCCCTATGTGCTGGTCCATCTTATCGTGGCTTCATATTCTCTTACGCAGTTGCGTAAAGCTTCTACGTGCACTTTTGGCTCCAAATGTGATATCCTCTTTGACCTGGCTGTTTTTTTCGATCACAGATGTTTATCAGTTGTATGGTTTTACTCTTTCTATTGGTTCTTCATTAATCTGGATTGGTTTACACCGAAGGATGTAACGCTGTTGAGAAAATTTGAGTTCAACGTTTTACCCCTCTTATTCTATGGTTTGGTGAGACCGCTGATGCAACTGATGACCGAATCGATTGTTTCGGGGTGCCTTCGAGAGCAAAGAGGTCATCGGCGAATCAAAGACCGCAGTCCAAGCTCGGTTCAGTCAATAGAACCAGTAACCCCCCCCCCCCC